CCTAATATTTTGGGGCATATCTTTTGATCCATACAAAATTTTAACACAGTATAAAAAACAAACGTAAAATAGACACACATATCTTTCATTCAAGACTAATTTGGACCCATTTGGGCACTGTTTGATCATCTAGAAGCTCAAGGCAAAGACCCTCACAGTTGCTGGAAAATCCCTTTATCCCACGTCTTAACATGCTATCCAAATGATATACACCCCTTCACGTGCTAAAATAAAACCCAGCACAAGCCTCATTCATGTCAAGCCATTTAAGCAAATTTTACAAGGAAACTACTCTATAAATTTATCAAGTTCATTACTTAATGCTCAATCACTTATTCAAGGCTCTTTTTATTCATTCATATTTATACACCTCATTCTATCATCCTTCTCTTGATAGCAACTTAAATTTAGATCCAATGAAGTGAAATGATGCACGACACTAAGCCCACTTACTTGGTGTTCACAGTGTTTTTAAATCTCCCACTCGCGAGCCACCTCGAGCTCTAAGCATGGCTTCTCCAAAGCAGCAGTTAACTCCCACTGGTTCTAGAGAAAGGAAGTGCAAAGGAAAAGTGAGGGGAACCATGGTTAAAAGGGGAGGGGAGTAGGCTTAAGTATCCAGGGTAGGTGGAGGTCATTGTAGCTGACGTGTACGGCTCTGACAGGTGTGGCGCTGACACGTAGGACACTGACAAGTGCGGTGCTGACAGTGGTCATATCTTCCCTCTTCTCTTACAGCGTTAACTCTTCTCAGCTTTCACGCGTGGCGATACCCCAGTCACGTGCAACGATGCCTTTCGCACGCGGCGTTGCTCTTCCTTCTCTCTCTTCACAGTCGGTGTTAGCCTTCTTCCACAAACGGTGATGCTCATCCCTATCTTTATGCGTGGAGCTGACTTTTCACGCACGGCGTTGACTTTTCAAGCGCGACGATGATTCTGTCTCTCCTCTTCACTTCACGGACGATGTTGGGTCACAGACGGTGCTAAGCTCTTATACACGTGCGACGATGCTCCAAACAGCGCTAGGCCTCTGTTTCACCCACCATCGCTGTGCATATCTCTGGACTGGGAGAAAATTGTGATCCTTACATTTATTAACGCTTAACTTTTAAAAAATTTACCATTTTTCAAAGGAAGATACTACAAAACGCCTATAGGCGAAAATGAATAGTGATTTTGCTTACCCTCATCACTGCCCAAAGTTCATCGTACGGTCAAGATTGTTTGGTAGTATTTCATTTTTCATTTTTTTTCTACAAATCAAAATGATCTAAAATTTGGAGTGTACGTTCATAAAAAATAGACGAATCTACTAAAAATATCAAAATAATATTTTACATGAATAAATTTACCAAAATACCTCTAAAAATTTTCAGTGGTATTTTGGTCAATCAATTTGTTTTTATATCATTCTGATTTGTAGAAAAAAAAAAATGAAAAATGAACTACTACCGAACAATCGTGACCATGTGATGAGCTTTGGACAGTAATGAGGGTAGCCGAAATCACTGTTCATTTTGCCTATAGGCGTTGGGAAGACTTTTCCTTTTTCAAATATTCAGTAGTCATGTGTATTTTGATAGGCAGCTTGATATTAAGTTAAAGGAAAAAGTTTATATAAGGTTCCAGAATTACGGATGCATCTAAAATATGTATCCAAAAATGTTGTTTTAATGTTGAAAAACCCTCGAATTGATCATTCGACCTCAAGATATATAAATATGAAAAAAAAAATATTTTGAGCCTTAAAAATAGTACATCTTGCAAGACATTATCCAGATTGTCCATTTTCAAGATTTTCATATGTTTATAGATCTATTTGATTTTAACTATTTTAGGAATTTGAAATTTTATAATTAGATATAAAAATAGATTTTTAGATAATCCTAAAAATTTATTACATTAAAATTATATGTTATGATAAAATTTGGTGGTGCTCCTTAATTGGATTGTTTAAGGTTGCAATGTTATAGAAACCACACCCTAAGTTAAATAGAAGAAAGGAGCACTTCTAAAATTTGCTGAAAGATGTCGTTTTGTTATCTGAAAACTTATGATGCCTTGAAAATCTATTTTTAAATTTTAAAATTTAAAAAATTGTGTAGATCTGCAGATCAATAAATATTTGAAAATCTTGAAAATAGACGGTCGAGATAACTTGTTATAAAATGTCCATTTTTTTGGACTTGAAAATCTTTTTTTTTAATTTTATCCATGCCCATACATCTCGAGATTGAGATGATCAATTGGAGGGTTCTCCAATACCAGAACAATCTATTCTAGATTTTTGAGGTGCACCTCACTTCAATACTATAAGGTTGGAACCTTGTATAAAATTTTTTCTAACTTAGGATATATTTAAAGGGTTTTGTCAGCAAGGGTGGCAACGGGGTCTGCCAGGGCCATATCTTGTCCTGGTAGGGCCGGCTCAAGCCGGGCCCTAGCCTTATTAGGTTCGAACCAAGCCGACTGGGTCACAAACAAAATGAACAAAAGAAAAAAAAGAAGGCTAGGCCGCCTGGGACAAGGCCGACGCTATCCCTTGCTTGGCCCTCAGGTCACATTTTGTGGCCCAAGCCTACTTGTTGAGGGCTTTGCCACATGGCACATTGCTAGCCCTATTTGTCGGGTATTCATATATATGGAATATTTCTTTAATATACTTAGCGCTTCTTAGATACTCATTACCCTTACTTTTTAATACAAAAATTTTTAAGCAATAGTGATTTTTGCTATTAAAAGAGATAGAGTAGATCTTCTTATAAGAAACTAGTGGCATTTAAAAAAACAATTAATGTTTTAGACGAGTAATATCACATTTTAGGTGCATGATGTTATTATCCACAATGGTTAATAGATTTTTTATTTTTATGGTATCAAGCAGTGTTTAAAAAAATGCCGACTCACCCGGTTCGACTCGAGAATCGCCATGGACGGATCGAATCGGCGAAAAAAACGAGAATCGTCCTATTCTAAAGAGAACCGGACGATTCTGCACAGTGACTCGCCGATTCACTGTACGGAATCGACGAGTCCCGTACGATGAATCGGCGAGTTCCGTACGAGATTTTTTTTTTATTTTTATTTTTTTATTTTTATTTTGATTTTTTTATTATTTTGATTTTTATTTTTTTTGTAATCCATGATAGATTTTTTTGTAATGCTTGGTCGATTTTTTCGTAATCCATGATCGAATAG